TTCTGCTTTGAACTGGATTATATGACACTACACTCCTATTTAATCCATTTCAAAGCAGATAATCTGGAATTAAATGGCAATATAGAAGGAACCATACTTACATTCCAAAAATTTTACAATTATAAATGGCCCTCAGTGTAAATGATTTCAATACCCCTGATATAAACTAAATCTACAGAAAAACTGCTTTAGCTATACATCCGGTGCCTTTCCTCTGCTTCCTATCCTATTATCTGCTCTGACTCATTTCAAACTCTGAAATGGAATTTGGGGAAATTTAAAGAGGAATACGAAGGAATTGTATGCAAACAAACGACAGAATGGGAAAGAGAAGTAAATAGACGTTTTCTTGGAATATGGACCCCATCCCTCTTTGGATCTTAGCCTTCAATTAAAATGTTCTTCAGTGTGTCACAGTGCGACCTTTCTATATGACACTAAAATAACCCAGTAGTGACTCATATTATTCAATCCTGGAGCTGTCCCAAATTCACCCTATTAGCACCACACTTACCTATAGTATACCACTCTGCAATGGTATTGTTGCCCCAAATTTGAATGAGCTCCAGTTATAGTGGTTTATGTGGTAATAAGAAGTTGACTCTGCCCCTCCTGCCTTAATTCAACTCCATGTCTGGCTCCAGCTTTCTGTACAACTGGGCGGCTTGTAGGGATGTTCTTGAGCTGCCACCATTGTTTTGATAACAAGAAAGAGTGATCATTTAGTAAAGGTAAAGGTTTCCCCTTACATTAGATATAGTTGTGTCTGACTCTGGGGAGTGGTGCTCATTTTAATTTCTAAGCTAAAGAGCCGGCATTGTCCGTAGACACCTCCAAGGTCATGTGGTCAGCATGAGTCATGGTGCACCGTTACCTTCTCACCAAGGCAGTACTTATTGATCTATTTACATTTGCATGTTTTGAACTGCAAGGTTGGTAGAAGCTGGGGCTAACAGGGGGAGCTCATCCCTGCTCCTCTGGATTTGAATCATCAACCTTTTGGTCAGCAAGTTCAGCAGCTCAGTGGTTTAACCCACTTTGCCACTACGGGAGTCATTTGTTTCCTCATAAGTATACCATCCCTCCCCTGCTCTGAGCAAGGATTGTGATATTCATAAAAATGTAAAGGGATCTGTAATGTTACAGAGCACACACCCTAGCAAATAGCAGTGGACTGGATACATAGTTTTTAAAATGGCAAGGCTTGCCACCCCAGGATCCCATCTCAGTTCTTTCCCTTGAAGCTACCCAGATCCAGATTGTATACGTATCACAAAACACAGCAACAGACCAGACTTTTCTGAAGACTGAGAAGCAAGAAGTGAGTTTTGGTATACACCAGAAAATCCTAAAAGAAGCACTTTTGTTACTGAATGGGTTAAATGTCATGTGTCAGGATCAAGTCAGCTGCAAGATGGTGTCTTTCCCCCCCTGCATATCCAGACCCCGGATAGCTAGCTTAATGTCGATATGTTCGTAAATTCTGTGTTTTTGGATTGTGTCAAACACAGCCCTAGGCCAGATTGGTGAATAACACACAACTTCCTGCACTAATAAAATAAGAATGCATACTGCAATAATTAATGTATCCTGAGTATTTGTTTATGGTTGGAGAAAAATATGCACTTTTACTGCCTGGGAATCTGTTAGAGCAAGAGCTTTAGTGCGGATAAAGTTGAGTATCCAAGAAAAATATACAGAATTCAGCTACAGTCCTAGAAAGTTTATGTTTCTGCTTAACTTTTGAGCGGACCTATTGATTTCACAGGGATTACATCGTATGCAACTCTGGTTAATTTCTGTGAAGCGTGGACCGGAGAAATTCCTACCCAATTAATTTGGCAGTTCGTGTGAGGCAAGATAACTTCATTCCTTGCAGGACTAAGGTTTACACTTGGCACACAAGGGGAATGATTAATTATCAGTTTAAAGCAATTACATGCCACAAGCAAACACAGGTCATAAAAGGATGAAGTATTATTTATATGCAGGAATCCCTCCTGGGATGGAGATGAAAGTCTCCCTTCAAGCGCAGCTTGTATCCAGTATGTCATATACAAACCTCTCTCTCTCAGACAGAACAGAACAGAGAGTTGGAACCACATCCATAGCTAGGAACAAATGGAGGCGTGGTGTAGGAATGCTATGAAAATGCACGGAAGTATACTTGGATCCAGCTTCTTGAAGATGAAGGGAGAGGTTTGGAGCAGGGGGAGTGATGTAGCTCTAGAGTGTTTTCCTGTCCACTCCCAGATCCATGGAAAATTCCTTGGGCCCTCTCACATCAAAATATTTATAGCAGAACGATTGCATTTTAACTGCCATGGCAACATCCATGCTGAGATATGGAATTTGGTCAGAGGCACCAGAAAATCCTCAAGGCCACCCCTTCCCTTACCAGTTTTAGAATTTACAACAGTGTTTCTCAACCTGGGGGTTAGGACCCCTGGGGGGATCGTGAAGGGTTTTCAGAGGGGTCACGAAAGACTATCAGAAAACACATAATTCCGATGGTCCTAGGAACCCCTTTGGCAAAGAAGGCTGAAGATCTCTCTGCCTTTCCTTCTATTTCTTTTTGGAAACAGACAGTGAATCCACCCACCAAAAGTCCTCCTCCTCCTGCGATTGGCCAACTCCACAACCCCACCAACCCCATTCAATTTTGGCCATGTGGGTAGGGTGCCAAATTTGGTGCAGATCCATTGTGAGCTGGGTTCAGAATGCTCTTTGATTGTAGGTGAACTATAAATCCCAGCAACTCCAACTTCCAAATGTCAAGGTCTATTTTCCCCAAACTCCACCAGGGTTCACATTTGGGCATATTGAGTATTCATGCCAAGTTTGGTCCAGATCCATCATTGTTTGAGTCCACAGTGCTCTCTGGAGGTAGGTGAACTACAACTCCAAAACTCAAAGTCAATGCCCACCAAACCCTTCCAGTATTTTCTGTTGGTCATGGGAATTCTGCGTGCCAATTCCATTGTTGGTGGAGTTCAGAGTGCTCTTTGCTTGCAGGTGAACTATAAATCCCAGCAACTACAATTCCCAAATGATATAAATAATCCTCTCACATCCCCACCAGGATTCAATTTGGGCATATTGCGTATTTGTGCCAAATTTTGTCCAGTGAATGAAAATACATCCTGCATTTTTTTTTGTCGTGTCAGAAGTGACTTGAGAAACTGCAAGTCACTTCTGGTGTGAGAGAATTGGCCGTCTGCAAGGATGTTGCCCAGGGGACGCCTGGATGATTTGATGTTTTTATCATCCTTGTGGGAGGTTTCTCTCATGTCCCCGCATGAGGTGCTGGAGCTGATAGAGGGAGCTCATCCGCCTCTCCCCGGATTCAAACCTGCGACCTGTTCGTCTTCAGTCCTGTCGGCACAGGGGTTTAACCCACTGCGCCACCAGGGGCTCCATATCCTGCATATCAGAGATTTACATTATGATTCATAACAGTAGGAAAATTACAGTTATGAAGTAGCCATGAAATAATTTTATGGGTGAGGGTCACCACAACATGAGGAACTATATTAAGAGATCGTGGCATTCGGAAGGTTGAGAATCACTGCTTTACAGGATTGTTGTTGTTCATTCATTCAGTCGTCTCCGCCTCTTCGTGACCTCATGGACCAGCCCACGCCAGAGCTCCCTGTCGGCCGTTACCACCCTCAGCTCCCTCAAGGTCAGTCCAGTCACTTCAAGGATGTACGGGGTGAAAGGGCCGGTGTTCTTCCCTATGAGCCTTCCATATGCCTTACCCATCTCTTTATGTCCAGATTTCCCAAAATTCCTTCTATTTGGGCTTTTTGTTGTTCCAACTCTGGCCCCTTCCACACAGCTGAATAAAATCCCATATTATCTGCTTTGAACTGGAATATATGGCAGTGTAGACTCAGATAATCAAAGCAGATATCATGGGATTTTCTGCCTTGATATGCTGGGTTATATGGCTGTGTGGAAGGACCCACTGACACTATGCACTAACTTCAAGATTGTACATGTTTGTGCCTTGAAGTTGCTGTTCAGCTTATGGTGGCCCCATCTATTTCATATGGTTTTCCTACCTATTAATGCTCAGAGGTGATTTGGCTAGTTCCTTCCTCTGAAATAAAGCCTACAGCACCTGGCATTCCTTGGTGGCCTGTCACTGAACTCTGTATCTTTAGATTCTGCATCCATGAACTGTAAACCCACCTTCCCACACTATTGCTGTTCTTTTAATTTATTTTTTTAATTTTAGCACATTTGTGCAATGTTAGCATTTAAAAACAACTTAAAAAGCAACTATAAATGTAAAATCTATATAAATAAAATGTGATGTTAGTTTGTGGGATTAACTCAAATACCACTTGATGAATTGACACAAAATTTGGACACAATACACCTATCAGGTCAACAAGTGACCATCACTCATAATAACACTGAAAAATACAATGGATGGGACTTAAAAAGCCAAAAAAGCAAAAATATGCTACAGCACATGCTCAAAAACAAGTTCCCCTGGAAAACAAAACACACAATAGCATATCCACACTCTGTTTTGAACTACAGCTCCCAACATCCCCTAGACCAGGCCCTTTAGGAGAGGAGGATGAGTCAAATGCACTGCTTCCAAGCTGCAAGCTTTTTTCTCCTTTGATTTCTTTGAGAGCATCCCAATTCCTCCATATTTCCAATGTCCTATTCTTGGACTGCAACTCCCAGCAATCCTCCAGATAGATAAGATTGATAGATAGATTACAGGTAGGTAGGTAGATTGATCAGGAGGACTGCAGGGAGTTGCAGTCCAAGAATACGTAGAGAAGGTAGAAAGAAGAAAGCAGCGAAAGCAAAACAGAAATAAAAGGGGGGGGGGAGGAAGGGAAGAGGAAGAGAGGGAAGGAAGCAGAGAATGAAAGAAAAAAAGGGAAGGAGACAAAGAAAGAAGAGGAAGAGGAAGGGAAGGTTGGCCACAACAACATGTGGCGGGTACAGCTAGTATACAAAAAAAGGGAAACTGCCAGCTTGGGAATAGTGAGGGTGAGGAGAGAGAGGAGGAGAATCCTTTCCACAGACATTACAGCCAGCATGTCAGCAGAGAAGTGGAAGGGACCCATTGCTCCAAGGTAGGTGATGGGAACATTGCAGGATTAGGAGCAATTGGTGGAATTGACCTGTTAATAGTAAGTGACAGGAGAATCACAAGGATGGCCAACGAGATGTGTCAAATGACAGGGTTACAAATGGTTCAACTGCAATACTGCTTTACCTTCCTTGTCTGTAGTCTAAAATGTCTGAGGGCTGCACATTAATGCAGACTGCCTAACTGTAATGAAGTCAGCAAGAAAAATGCTAAAACTGAAATTTTGCACTTAAATTTTAAGGAATAGAAAGTACCTACTGTTTACTGTGGATTTAACTGAATTAAAATACTTGTGTGTATATTGGAAGGGAGTGGTGTTGCATTAAAATGGTTTGTTAAATGTTTAATCAAAGCAGACAGTTGGGTAATTAAAGCTATTAAAATTGATAGAGCATGAGGCCTAGATAAATTACATCCTAGCGCTCAAGCAGTTAGGATGTCCTCTGGCAATGATCTGGGTGGGAAAGGAAAGTATAGGACATGATTTGGAGCAAAAATAGAAGCCAAAGTACATGTTCAGAGACATTTCATAATTCTTAATTTATAGTTTTTTTGGAAAGAGAGTGGGAGTGGGAACGTTACGTCTCCCACATGAAAGAACACACAAAAGCACGCACTCCAAGTCGACATGGTAATTCCTATTTATGTACCACCAACAAAGAATATGTTTTGGACTAGGAGAGCCAGGCTAGGGAAAAATGCCAGAAAGCAGCAGAAAGCCCCCATCGACACCTCTATCCTGCACTTGAATCAGTGAACAATTGTTTGATCAACAGGGACATTTGGTTAGGATCTCAATCACAGGGGGCAATGAAGAGTGTGACAATAGAGTGATAAGGTCCATAGGGTGCATCACAATATCCATTCTGCAATTATTTGGATATGGAATCAAGATGTCACTTCTACACAAATATTTGTTGTCATTGCTACTGTGTCTTCAAGTCACTTTCGATCCCATCATATGGTTTCTTGGCAAGATTTTTTAGAGGGGGATTATCTTCACCTCACTCTGAGAATGAAAGAGTGTGGCTTGTCCAAAGTCAACCAGAGAATATCTGTGGCCAGGCAGGGATTTAAACCCTGGTCTTCAGAGTCAAATTTTATCCACGCATGCCAATTATTTCAGGGATAGTCTGGAGCAGAAATGAACTGGACTGGCCCTGGAGTCCTCATAGGAGTCCACACACTCTGCCCCTGACCCATGGTCATGACGGGACAGATTCTACACAGTCCATCTAGGCAAAAACTGATTCAGCCCAACTGAACCCTTAACTTATTTTTCTTTTGCTGCTGCCACAATCCCTCCTTCCTGATTGTGTGAGTACCTCTGCTGATCTCAGTAAAGAAGCTACCCCAGAGTTGTGTGTCTATCTGCAGCAGCGATGGGGGTGACAGGGACCCAAGGCATGCACTTCCTCCTGTACCAGTCCATGTGGGCAGCAGAGGTTTGCATCAGAGCTGGTCTACCTAAGCTGTGCACAAAATGCAGGGCTACTCCAGAGTTTTGGAGAAATTCCAGAGCATTCCCCAGCTTTCCTTAATATGAGGATAAATTAAATAATCTTGGCTTACCCTGTGCTATGGACCAGAAGTCCCTTGGTGTCATGTGAACAACCAGAGGCAACTTCTGCCCCCCTTTGAGTTTTTAGGTTCACATAGAGAAGCCCATAGTCCAATGCTCAAACCATTATGACTGCGAGTAGTGTGGTTTTATAGTGATTGTAATGTTTTGAAAATGTTTTAATGTATTTTAATTTTGATCTTAATTTAATTGAAATGTTTATTTTAATTGTATATTGTTGTCAAGGCATCAAATTGTTGCCTATCTGTAAGCTACCTTGAGTTCCCCTTGGGGTTGAGAAAGGCAGGATACAAATATAGTAAATAAATACATAAAATTCACCACATTGGTTCTCTGTACTTAATGATACACTATATTAACCAGCAGTGCTTTTTCCCATAAACAAGCTTTTCCTAAAATCCAAGTGAGGGAAGTTACGTTTGGGACTGAATCTTAGAAGCCCCCAACTAGCTGGGAATGGAAGGAGTTGTGTTCTTTAAAGGTAACCTTTCTAAGCTCTGCAGTTTGCTTGCATGTAAGTGCTGTTCAGCAGAGATTCCCAGCAATGTTAAACAAAAGCTTCCTCCACTTCAATTCACTGGCCCTTTATTACTTCCAGATGAATGTGAGAGGGAGAAAAGTTTGGATGACCAGTTAGCTGTTCAGCTCTCTCATTTGCTTCTGGTAACTATTGAGAAATCAGCCTATTTCTTCTCTATAAGTGCTTTTATGCTGATCAGTTTGAAGACATCACAAGGCTGCAGTGGCCATAAACTTCACATCACCAATGCATTGTGCAACACGCATCAAGGATGATACAGCGCTTCAAAAAAGGTCTCAGGGAAGTTGGAATTCAGCCAAAAAATGCACTGCTGCAAATGCCAGTGTTTCCAAGATCAAGGGTGAAATCAGTTCCACAAAATGCAAAACGTATTGTTGACACTGGCCCCTGCTGAACTGTATTATAGATCCCATAACTGGGACTGCTGAAAAACATCCCAAGGGCATGGTTGGGCAGCAGGGGGCTGATTGACCCCTTGGGAAGGGTAATAGACTACCTCTGCTGCTGGCTAGTTGTGTTCCAAACTACATATTCGTTATGTTGGGGTGGGTTGAAGGATATGGATGTGGCATAATGGCATCTAAGGCAGCAGTGGAAACTGGGACTGCTCTGCATCTCTATCATTAAGGTCAGGTGGCCTGATATGATGCAGGATGGTGTGAGGAGGGATTTAATTACAATCAGCCCTTCACCTTTATTGAGGTTAAAGGCATAGGGCACCTGCAAAAGTGGAAAACTACAAATGAAAAATAAAATTAACCCAAGAGAACACCTCTCCAGGAATCTCTGGATCCTCCAGCATGGTCAGTGCCCATTGGAAGTTAACTGCAGAACTGTCCTGCTGTACCTAGGGATCTAGAGCTTCCTAGAGAGATACTTTTAATCAAATCTACAAAAGTAAAACCTGAAAATGTGGGGGAGGGTGAATCTTATTGATTTTATTTGGGGGAGGAGCAATGGGGAGCAGGCATGTAGCTGGGGGGGGGGGCTTGAGGGGCTTCAGCCCCCCCCCCCCAAATTCTTATGGTGGTTCGTGAAAAGGCCTTACTGGTGCATTATTTAAACTGTTATGTTTATTCATATCATGATCTGATCACCATGCTCAATATATCCCATATGCATGGGGGTATTGGGGTAAAGATACAAAAGGTTTGCTAGGCTAGACCTTCTTTCACCCAGACTCAGCCCCCCCAAAAACTCAGCCCCCCCCCGAAACGAAATCCTGGCTACGGGCCTGATGGGGAGTGCAATTCACCTCTGTAAATTGTGGTAACTTTTCTTTGGAAAATGGGAGGATAAGAAAACAACTTGATATCAGCCAGTCTGTATTCTCTTCATTAATTCAATAGCACTGAGAAGCAGATTGACGGCCAATGAAATCAGACACATGCAACCAAATGGCCAATGTCACTCTTCTTATCCTCTTGAGGCCAATTACAAGCAAGCCACAACTCTCTGGAATCTCGGCTCTGGCCAATTAGTATTTTTAGATCACAATCAATCAGAGGTGACAGCTCAGGTTCACGTTCAGACAAGTCACAAAGCAACCACATGGATGTGGGGACTCTGGGCAGATTTGGCCTAGGAGATGCAAAACCTCATCAGGTAATGCTTATTAGTCATCTGCTATAAAGAGTCAGTTTTTCAAAAGAGCTGTGAGTATAAGCAAGCCAATGATTAGATGCCGAACTACTAGTTTTGGGGATTAGAAGTTTTAGAAAAAAGTGTCATCATTATAGGCTATTACTTGTGGCCAAGTATGATTGTCTTCCAAGGGTAGAGTCTTGGTGGTGAGTCCATAAGTGGCTGTAGAGAGCTATTCTGGATCCACATGGCTTGTTGCAATGAGGACATGCATTTCCAGATGGAAGGTGGTCATGATACAGATTTGCTTGATGCACATTCCTCTTGACAGTTTTCCCCCTTTCTCCCTCCATTCATGCCTCTTCAAAATCTATAGTACCATTGGCAACAACTAATTACCAGTTGAAACATTCGAGGGCCAGGGCTTCCCAGTTCTCAGTGTTTATGTCACATTTTTTAAGGTTAGCTTTAAGCCTATCTTTAAATCTCTTTTGCTGTCCACCAACATTCCATTTTCTGTTCTTGAGTTGAGAGTAGAGTAACTGCCTTGGGAGACAGTAATTGGGCATTTGGACAACATGGCTGGTCCAGCAAAGCTGATGGAGGAAAATCATTGCTTCAGTACTGGTGGTTTTTGCTTCTTCCAGGATGCTGACATTTGTCTGCCTGTCTCCCCAAGAGATTTGCAGGATTTTTTGATGGCAACACTAATTTAAATAATTCCAAAAGTTGAGAGTGACGTTTGTACACGGTCCATGTTTTGCAGGTGTACAACAGAGTTGGAAGGACAATAGCTGTATAAACAAGTATCTTAGTATTCCTATGAATGTCCCAGTCCTTGAACACTCTCTGCTTCATTCAAAATAATGCTTCACTTGCAGAGCTCAGATTGTATTGTATTTTGTTGTCGATGTCGACTTTTGTGGAGAGGTGGCTGCTTATATAATGGAAATGGTCGACATTTTCTAGCGTTACACCATTAAGCTGTATTTCCGGCATTGCAGAGGGATTGGTTGGTGCCTGCTGGTGGAGCACTTTGGTTTTCTCGATGTTCAGTGAGAGGCCAAGCTTTTCATGTGCAAAGGTGTTTAAAGTGGCTTGTAGGTCTTTCTCTGAATGAGCACAGACTATGAAAAAGTGTACTGTAGAGCATTGGACTGGGAGGTGCAAGATTCAGGCTCAACTTCACACTGAGCCATCAAACCCTTGGGTGAATCAGTCTCTCAACCAGAATCAACCTCACAGGATTGTTGTGAAGACAGTCTGGGGAAAAGGAGAGCCACGTATGCCACTCTGTGCTGGAGAAAATGTGCCAAACAAAGATTCGTCATATCCATTCATCAATCTCTAGATATAAATACATAAATAGATGTGTGGAAGACTTGATTTCCAATGCCTGATTTTGCTTTGTCTTGCAGTGTTTCCCACTATCTTCATCTCATAAACATGCTGCAATTCATTGGATAATCTTTACCCAACCACCACAGGGATGGCAGGGACCGTGTGGCAAAACTTATAAGACAGCCATCAGCTTTTTCCTATGCTTTCCACTACATTAAGAACTTTTACATGCACAGATGTCAAAGCCTACTTTTCAGAAATCCCCCCCTTTGACTTTTCCACATCTTCTTGTATTACAGCCTGGAACTGAAATTGATTTAACTGATATTGTTGCTGTTTGCTGAACCCATCCTATGGAATTATTATATTTGTAGTTTAGGGAGGTACTCACACTTCATGTCCGCTGCCCTGAACTGCGCACCTAAAGTTCTTTAGTAAAGATAGATATTTTCAGATGCAAGAACTCTCTCTCTCTCTCTCTCTCTCTCTCTTTCTCTCTCTCTTCCTCCCCAGTGAGAAAGATAACAAGAGAGGGTTGGTTTCTTTTACATTATTCAATGATTTTTCATATTTTGGGATTTTGAAAAGAAGGTGTTGGTGGTATCCTGTTAGTCACTTATTTTGTTGTGAGCTAGACATACAATCTTGTTACTGCTTCTTATTTGTCTTTATGATTGTGATACGATTGCTATAATGATAAATACCCCTAAAATCCACTTTTAAATCCAGCCAACCACACCGAGGGACAGAGTTCTGTGGCAGTGATGGTGGACTTAAAGGATGACACATCCATCCACACCCTGCCAGTGAATGGTAGTGTGATGTCAGTAGCAGGGACACCTACAGTGTGATTTCACAATTTCTTATTTTACCCACCATTCACTAGTGAAAATAATAATAATAATAATCACAATTTATACCCCGCCACCATTTCCCCCAACAGGGACTCGGGGTGGCTTACATGAGGCCAAGCCCAAACAGCAAATTACAATACAGTAAAATACAATAAAATAAAAAACGAAACGCAAGCAACAACACAGTTAAATACAAAAACAAGATGAATATAATAAGCAATGAATGAAAAACATAAGAATGCAATGAACAATCACAATAACAGTGAGCGGGCCGCATGTACAATAAAATGATTAAAAACTCAGGGTGAGATAAAAGGAGCAGATTATTTGCAAGGGAGAGCTCATAGGGAAATAGGGTAGTAAACAGGTCTTCGTACAAGGGGGAGTAGGCTGGATATACAAGGGGGAATTGGCTGGATGAGACATCCTTCAGCTTTCCACTCATTTGCACCACAAAATTTCGTCGAACTGGGTTTTAGTGAGAGTTTTGGAGGTAAGATTGAGGGACAGATTGTAGTCATGGCTACATGCCTGATGCATAATCTTGGGGTTATTTGCAAAAATTCTGGATTTGTAACATAAAATAAGAATATTTTTTACACAAATAACAGTATCCGGGGAGGGGGGGGGGTGTATGGCAATGCTTTGTGATAAGCAAAAATCCTGTTCAAGAATGTTTGAACAGTGTTTTAATGGATGTCAAAGATATTCAAAGATGAAAGTTTTTTTTATTATTTCCCAATTATTTGGCAGAAAATTCTACATAACTCATCAAACCCCAAGATTCCACAGGATGGAGCCACGGCAATGAAAGTGATATCATAGTGTGGATGTGCTCCCAGTTGCATGTCCCACTCCGCTTGAACCAAATCCCTCGCTTTCCCTCATAATCCCTATACAATGGCAGATGCTGTTGTGTGTGTGCAGTCTCTCTTTGCAGCTTGTTCTGATGCTCGTGCCAGCTGGAGAAACCCTGCAGATTTTCTGCTGACACACCAGAAATATATATGTTAGGAGGCTTTCACTATTATTATCACATTATAGCCCTTTCTGGCACTCTTGCAGCACGGTAAACAATAGCTGTGCTTGTTGGAGGTCACGGATTCATAAATACACACCTCTGTGTGTGGTCTTTGCCAACAACTCTGAACTTACATTACAAAATGAGAGAAAGAAACAAGTATGAGTCAGAGAAAATCCACGGAACATGCTGACATGTTTTGACACTATGATTTATTGATACCCTGTTTATTTCCATTTCTTAGAGTGGCCCTTCAGAACTCTGCTGCTGAAAATATTATTTGCATTGGCTTGCAATAGAGATATTGAGACCAGTTTCCCCTCTCCATTGAGAAATAAACATTTGGGAAAAAATTATTATATATGTGTATGTGTATATACACATATATATGTATGTAAGAACTACCTTATTGTTGTCTCCTGTTCGTAGATGTTAACTGGAGCCAGTGTAGAGTAACAGTACATCAGTGTAACTTTAGAAAAGGAAAATGGAAGGTGTTCAGACTAGTGGGTATAGTGGAACTACCCTTACATGTCTTTCATGTGATTCACATCTGGGAGAGAGGGAATGTTTCTGTGAAGGGGTCCTAAAGATCTCCTTTCACAAACCATTTATCTATCTGTCAATTGATTGAGCCACCACAGTGTGATAGGTTATTATTTTAGTTATTTTAAATCATATTATTGTCCTCAGGCATAGAAAAGAAGAGTTTTCACATCAGAACATGATGAACATTGTGTGTTCTCACAGGACTGGGACTGAGGTAAGGACATATTATTTAGACTTTGTATGTTCAGCCTAGGTAACCCCTTTAGCTATATTCCTCCTAGCGTAGGAGTGGAGAACATGTGGCCCATTAGATATTGGTTAACTCCAACTTCCAATATCCCTGAGTATTGGCTATGCTGACAAGGAGTGATGGGAGCTGCAATCCAAGAAAATCTGGAAGGCCGCACATTCTCTAGCAAAAGTTAAACTGGACACATGATAAAACAATTGTATGAGTGTTTTAAAGAACTGACACCAGAACAGGAGAGGCTTGTTCTGAATGTAACCTATGGTCATATTCAAGCCAATCAAATATATTGCTTAACATCTGTCTTGATCTCTTGTTTATCATTGCCTGTGGTCAGGGCCAACTTCACAGGGCCATCTAGAGCTGGCTCTTGTTGTATCACAGTAGTTTCAACAGTAGTTAAAAACAGAATTTTCATGTTCTGAAAAATACCTTTGTTTATCCAATGCTGAAGAGAGAGCACAGGGAACTGCTGCACAAAGAGACATTCTGGTGGTCACTGTTGGAAGCAAAGACAGTATTTCATTACAATGATTGACTTTCATACTGGATCAGTACAACAGATGCTCCATTCCAGTATTCTAGCATTCTTTAACACAGGCCAACTATACACCTCTGGAAAGCACGTATATAAGTTGTGGTGGTGATAGCTGTACTCTTGTCTTCAGTATCTGCAGATCATACAAATGCCCCTGTTTATCCCTGGATGTTTGGATACTGCAAGGCAGTTCTTATGCTATGTTCTTGTACTTTTTGTGCATTTTGTTTTGTACATTATGTCCTTCTCCTTTTAGAACATATCCTTATGAATATGTAAGGAAACATCCATTTTTGAATTTTTTATAAACAGTTCCTAGAAATCAAGTAACAAGGATATAGTAACGTGATCCTATTCCTATCAACAGGTGTGGTTCTAAAGATGTACTTTTGCTTGTTGCTTAGTAAGTGATGATTGGAGAAACTAAGCTAGGAGACACTTGTTGTGAAGCATCAGGAAAAGCCTGGGGGGGGGGGGGCAGGGAGGCAAAATTTCAGTGGTCTACTGGGATCCCAGCTTCCTCACCAGATGCCCCATCTCACAATCTGCTGGGTTTGTATTTGTGTATTTAAAGGAAGGTAGCTGAGACAGATTGGGGATTTTGGTGGTATATCTTTTGCCCTGATGCTGAGTCAGCTGAATTGGCAGTGCTGTTGACATTCCCTCTGATAGTTGTGCTGGTAGACTTCAACATACTACGGAGAGACCCATTTGTCAGGAGCAGCTCAGGAGTTCATGTCCTCCTTGGCAACCATGGGTCTGTCCCAAGTCATATCTCGTGTCACTCATGCTGCAGGATACACTCTGGACCTCATTTTCTGTGTAAGGCAGAACTATATTTATCTGAGTGTGGAGGAACTTTCTATAGTTGCATTGTCATGGAGAGATCACTATCTGGTGAGTGTTAAACTCACTGGAACTCAGAGCCTTTGAGGGGCGAGGGCCAATCAAGATGGCTAATGGATCTGGATGGGATTCTGACTACTCTTGAGGAGCTTCCTTTTGCCTTGGCAAATTATCTTGTTGACAATTTGCCTGTAAAAAAAAGGAATGGTCAGTGCAGTTGACACAGTTGCTCTTAATCATCCCCTCTCATGGAGTGGAGCCTCCTAGGAAACTGGCAGTGATGAAATGAGCAATACTGGCAGAAGTATGGCTGAACATGGATTAGAGCTCATTGGTAAGTCTATGCTGTGATAGTGAAATCCACCTTCACTGCTAGCACTACATACTCACCATTGATATATGTAGTATTTTAATGATTTATGTAGGATTTTAATGGTGTATTTTATATTGTATTTAATAATCTTGTTTTCATCTGTTTGTTTGTTTTCCTTATATGTGAAAGACCTATGGTCTAAGCATCAAATAAACTTGGTGTATCCTCGGTGTCATCTAGAGAAGCTGTCTCAAGTGCTCATTCTGCCCTCTAAGAGCAACAAATACGCAGCAGTATGATATACAGAATTTGCACAACACCTTGCCAAGTCAAATCCATTCTGGCATGGATGCTATAGCTGATACAAGTCCAGTGGATGTAGTTGATACAGGTCTAGCAGATTTGATTACAAAGACAAGATGATTTCAAAAAAAAATAATCTCTTTCTGGTTTGAAAGTGTTATTTTTGTTTAATTATGCAGTACTTACTATGAAAGTAGCTGTTATCCTCCAGAAGCTTCATTTTTGTAGCTGCCACAAACCATGTTGAATTGGTTAAGACTCAATGAGATATTAATTGAAAAACTATAGCAAAATGTGCTGCAGGATGTCCCACAAAAACAAAGTTTTTGAAGTTGAATAAATTTTCCATGTTTTTATGATAGAACCAATTTGGAAATGCCATTTATAACCCAGAAGCAAAAATCATGTTACATATTGTTATTCACGGGTTAAATTAAAATCTTCCCTCTAAGAATACTTAGGCTCTAGGGTCAATTCTGGCACACATATACCATAGAGTCATGCTGGAGGACCTAGAAATTCCTAAAAATTATTTCGGTTTTCCACTTCTGCAGAGGTTCTATATTTCTAACTCCAGCCAGTAGAGCCCCTGGTGGCACAATGGGTTAAACCCTTGTGCTGGCAGGTCAGTCGTTTGAATCCGAGGAGCGGAGTGAGCTTCCATCTGTCAGCTCCAGCTTCTCATGCAGGGACATGAGAGAAGCCTCCCACAGGATGGTAAAACCTCCAAGTGTCCCCTGGGCAACATCTTTGCAGATGGCCAATTCTCTCACACCAGAAGTGATTTGCAGTTTCTCAAGTTATTCCTGACATGAGAAAAAAAAAACAGCCAACATGAAAGGATGGCTGTACAATTATTCCTCCAATATAGGAAACACAATATTCCCTGCCTCAATGCTGTACTTCTGTTCAGAACTTTCCAACTAGCCCAAGACAGTAAATATTATGAAAAAGCAGGGAATTGCTACATTTTTTACTTTGTTTTTATTGTGCTTTTATTGTGCGAAGAGATAATTGTGGGACTTTATGCCTCAGGTGGCAAAATATATTCTGAAGATGTGGCTAGCTACCTTTACTTGGGGCAGTATGTGGGGGGGAAGAGCATCATGTGTTGCTCTTTTTCAGGACAGCCTTGATGACTTAGGCTAAGCCAGTGGCTTATTTATTTTGTATCAAAAGCATTGCATAAATTAATATAAAACTGATAAAAATAGAAGGAGCGCAGGTGGCTAAATATCTTTTGACCAAAAATGGGCACCAGCAATGGCATTGTCTTTAGCCTCCAACAATTCTTCCTCTGTACATGAGGCAGGGCATAGTGGACAAGCATACAGATGTGGGATTGTCTGTTCTGCTCCAAAGTCATGCAAGGTGTGGGATTATTTTAGGTAGTGCCATTTTGCCAGGTTGTCTTTTGATCAGCGAGTGGCTGAGCCACAGAGGCACTGGCTTCCCCTTGTGTCTACTCTTCCCTATGTTTCAGGTGTATACAGTGCTGATTTCTACTTTGCTACTGGGTGTGGGTGCACAGTTTTACTACTACAACAATCATAATGCATACATCTCAGGTAGTAAATCTGGGGAGCAGACCCTCCCTATATCCTGGGGTGACCCATGGTCCAAACAGGGAGGATGCCTCGCTATGAAATGCCCACCCAGATCCTTTTGTTTCAGAGGCACTTCTGTCTCAGAGAAATCTGGAGAGGAACAGGTCTGGCCAGCTCCACCCTAATGCTTCACTTCAGTACAGAAGACAAAGAAGTTCTGGTTGAGAAATTGTGAAGAACAGCTGTTGTTCACAGTATATACACACACATAGCATGGGAGTATTGAGGAAAATACAACATCGGCGAACGTCAAACTGTCAGTCATGGAAGAAGCTATAAGTTCAATACAAATGGGAAGATTTTCCCCAGTCATTGCAACGCACTTGGCTCCCTTTTATGTAGCACGTGGTGCACACGCCCACAAATGTTCTCTTCAGGTTTTGTCTCAGTAGGTCAATGTGTTTTTGGTTTGGTTTTTAAAAAATGTTTTCTGGCTTAAGTGCCATATAAATTTTGCTGAATACACAATCTTTTGTGTGTTTCACGTACATGCCATCTTTCTCACAGAATCGGACCCAAGGTGGCTCACAACAAAATGAAATCAAACCCAACAATAAAAGTTTGAAAACAATTAAAATCATCACTTTAAAACAATATAAAACCATTATTTAAAATGCATGCAAAAGTTTGAAATGATAAAGCACACATCCCAATAAGAAGCCTCCCTGCAAGTGAGTACAAAATAAAACCCTGTTTAAACAAAACAATTTTTTTTCTATGCCTGCTACCAAAAGGGAAGCAATTCAATATGATGGGAGCACTAAGAAGGCTTTCTCCCATGTACTCGCCAAGCAAGCTGTGGCCATGGCAGGATAGAGAGAAAGTGCTTCTCTGTGGGTCTTAAAACTCTGGCAGAATTGTGTAGGGAGATACAGTTTTTCAGATATCTTATTTTATTATCGTGTCAGAAGCAATTTGAGAATATTTATTTATTTATTTATTTATTACTGTACTTGTATACCGCTGTTTCTCAGCCTAACTGGCGACTCAACGCGGTTTACAACAAAATACAACAATCAACAGTATTCAGTTAAAACCATAAAAAACATCATACACAATACACAATATTGGCCCATCAATAACAATCCAATGCATCTCCTAACTAAAATCGTAATCCAGTTTCGTCGTCCATATTACCAATCCTTTAATCATCAAATTCATTGCACCGAATTAACCAAATGCCTGTTCGAACATCCAGGTCTTCAGTCTTTTTCGAAACACCATCAGCGAGGGGGCTGATCTTACCTCCATGGGAAGGGCGTTCCAAAGCCGAGGGGCCACCACAGAAAAGGCCCTGTCTCTCGTCCCCGCCAGCCGCACCTGTGAAGCAGGCAGGATAGAGAGCAGGGCCTCCCCAGAA